TTTATTATTAATAAATTTACGTTTATTAAATATTAATAATATTACGTTTATTATTAATAAATTTACGTTTATTAAATAATATATGCATTATATATTACATGCATGACGCATTTCCTTTTTTTTCCTGCTGTTTTTAACAGAGCAATGGCATCAACGAGCGGCAAAGAGGAATTTCTCAAACAGTTCGAGGCGATTGTTGCAGGCGTTAAACGTAACAAGGCAAAGGTGAAGAAGGACTTTTTATAGTATAATTAGTCTTTATAATTTATTCACGCTTCAAAATATGTAAATATATTTTCCGACGGGGGAAAAAAAAAAACAACTACGTTGATATTAACTCTGAAACTATTCGACTTCGTGTTGGGCCTTTCGAAAATCTAACTTTTGTGCTGACAGTAAAATACTCTATATTCCAATAAGACGATCGTTTCATGTAGGTGGAGAAACGATGTGCCGACGAGAAAAACCGGAGAGACGCACTCAGCCGGCAGCTGGTCACTCTGATAGAACAACAACGGAAATACGTCGCTGCAGTCAGGCAACTGACGATCGAATGTCGTAAAAATGAAGCCTTGCTCGCGCAACTGCGAGGTCCGTAAATACAGACTTCATTTTCGTTTATCCAGAAACCTATCGGATCCTCGTATTTTTGTCTCACGGTTGTTTGGTTCCGTCAACGAGTGTTAATAATAATATATTGAAATTGTGTTGAAGGAATGGATGCATCGTCCGAACAGTACAATAGTTCTCATCGTTGAGAGCAAGACTGCGAGGAACAAGCGAGGTAGCGGTGTGCTTTCTATTTACGTTCACACCATGTATACACCATTCATACATGTGCAATTTCTGTTGTTTTAGATACGTATTCGAAAGGGTAAACTCGGTGTTATGGAGAACTTATGTTATGGTAGAAGACCGTTCTCTCGTTCCGTACAATATTAATTTTATAAGAAAGAATATATTAAGAAAGAAGCTCGTCAAAATGTGCTTTTTCGCTTACCTCCCATGTCATTAATCTTACATTATATATTAATCTTTACGGAGACATACGATAGGTCCCGATATATCGACGAATGTCAAAAATTATGAACTTATACAATTATGAAAAGGAAATTGTATTCGAAAAAGATATTTGTAGCATTGCAAATAATAATGACATACGAGTACAGATGAATATCCTGTATAACATATGCACCTTGGAGTTTGCTACTTAATAGATTGCTACTTTCACAAGTAGTGAAAGCCCCTCCCTTTATATTCTCCCTTTCAATCTAGTCCTAGGATCAATATCGATGTACAATGATCTTTGATCTTTGATTGGAGCAGACATCCAATAGAACCATTTTAGAATAAGATATGTAACATAGGCTGAGCCACTGCAGCTAAAGAGCGCGAAAGTGCTCAATGCTCGGAGGATATTTAGAACGAGGAGGAACTTTGCGTTTCGTCTTCGGACCATCAAGAGTAGAGAACTCTAGGTGAGCATCGGACCGTGAACAGCATATGATCATATATGTATCTCGTCTGTGAGCATTGTTTTTAATCCAAAATCGTCGTCGATTAGCTGCGGTCGTTCGAAGTTGTAGATGTGCAACTTGTAGATGTGAACGAGTCGCAGGTTTGTAGGGACGCGGTATCAGATGGAGCCACGATCGTCACATTGTGGTGGCCACAGATGAAAGGCATTGGAGTTGGAACGAGACAAAGGAATTAGTACGCGTAAGACCGTAGGACAGGCAGTGACGCTGGACGCTAGGACGTTGAACAGACGTCATATGACATTCGCGTCGGGTGCAAGAACTATTCTTTTAAATCAAGAGGGACATGTGCTATCTATACGGTGGCTGTTAGCGCGACTCATATGAGAGAAATATTGCGCGTAACATGGCAAAAGACGAAGGAGACGATCTCTTGCCGGACAAGGACGCGGCCAAGGGATTCTACGCGAAGTACGAGCCCAAAGAAATCCTTGGAAGGTTGGTCACGTGATATTTCGACGAGAATAAGAAACATAGCCTTACTATTTTTATGTATTCAGCGAATATGTGCGTATTGCTGATACGTATCTATCCGCGTTGTGTACTGCGATCGCGATAAACGAATTGAGGGATTCGCAGGTTCTCAATAACAAACTAACCTATGCAATTATATAATTTCACAAAATTAAATGCATTCAGTTTGATTGCGATAGTATGTATATATTAACAAAACAATGAAACTTATAAAGTTTCGAAACGTTTTTAATTCTACAGATTACAAGATTACAGTGAAACGTTTTCTTAGGATTTTCTTGTATTGTTTTTGAAATTTGTCAAACATTTCCTTATGTCGATGATATTTTTAGTATTATGAAGCCATTTGTATTAAACAAAAATATATCTATATATTGTGGCTATTATTCGAGAGCTATTTATGTAGTATTACTGATAACTTGGGTATACAAATTGCCTGGGTACTAAACTCTATGTACATAAACAAAAGAATGCTTTCATACTGCAATGATTCATACTTATGTACTTCGTCGCTTTTCTGCATCATGTGTAGAATTATATCGATATATGTTAATATTAATAAACTTCGTTTCAATTAAAGTTAATTTCATATTGATGATGCATTGATTAATTCGTGTTAAATAATACTTTGATATTTACAGAGGAATATCTTCTACTGTGAGAAGATGCATAGAGAAAGAAACAGGTACAGAATATGCGGCCAAAATTATAGATATTAGTAATGAAACTAATGAAGATGGCCATACTATGAAGGATGCTACATTACAGGAAGTACAAATTCTTCGTAGAGTAGCAGGTCATCCTTATATTAGTAAGTCTTTTATATTTTCAATAGTTATAGAATCAACTTTTTCGTGACACTTGTAATAATTTCTTCCATTTATTTTTTTTTCAGTCGAATTACACGATGTTTTTGAATCTAGTACATTTATATTTTTAATCTTTGAAATTTGTAAAAACGGTGAACTTTTTGACTACCTCACGTCTGTTGTAACTCTCTCAGAGAAAAAGACACGTTACATTATGAGACAAGTTTTCGAAGGTGTTCAACATGTACATAATCAGGGGATAGTGCATAGGGATTTAAAACCAGAAAATATATTACTTGATGATAATTTAAATGTAAAAATAACTGATTTTGGGTTTGCTAGACTATTGAAAACTGGTGATAAATTATATGGTATGTAATTACAAAATGCAATTGTATAATTCACAAGAATATATTATTAATGTCTTTTTCAGATCTCTGTGGTACTCCTGGATATTTGGCGCCAGAAGTGCTCAAGTGTAATATGTTTGAAAATGCGGAAGGCTATGGATATGAAGTTGACATGTAAATTAATTAAATATAGTGGAAACAAACATGAGTAATTAGTATTATAGTAATATTAATCATCTTTCAGATGGGCCTGCGGAGTAATTATGTTTACTTTGTTAGTCGGTTGTCCTCCCTTTTGGCATAGAAAGCAAATGGTTATGCTTAGAAATATAATGGAAGGGAAATATTCATTTACATCTCCAGAATGGGCAGATATAACAGGTAATATTGTCTAAAAAAAATTAATACAATATTATGATAAACAAATATACAATAATTTTAAAAAGAAATTGCTGCAATAGACAAAGTTTTAAAAAATTTTTAAACCTATGCAAGACAGGCGAAAAATTTCAGATGGAAGTTTTTGTTATTAAATTATAATAGTGCACAAACACGAATAAAAATCCCTGATTAACATCAGAATGGTATTATTATTTTGAGTAATCATTTATCAAAGGTATATCATTTCGATGTGAGTTGTTTTGTCTATGGGAAGTATCAAGAATTGTTACTAATAAATTTTTGACATTCTTGTGCTAAATGAGTGGGGTGCTGTTATATACATGTTTTACGTGTATCAATAATTTCGTAATATCTCTAATGTTTACAAATTTTATATAGAAGTTAAATTTTTATTGTATTTTCAGAAGCTCCAAAAGACTTGATCAGAAAATTATTAGTTGTTGATCCCAAGAAGAGAATTAGTATCAAAGAAGCTTTGGAACATTCATTTTTCCATACAGTGGTAAGTATTTTAGTATAACATATTTGTAATGGTAATATATAAAAGTTTAAGCAAAAAAAGTAGAATACACTCAAAATATTTACTACGGCATTTAAAATAAATGTATTATATTCGTATTTTTATGTTTTTATTTGTTTGCTTTATATGTCCAACTATCTATGTTCATAATGAAATATACATGCCTTTATAAAATAATATCAAACATTGTCATTACACAATTATATATAAAACGTCTGTTTATATTAATTTAATAAATTATGTATATAATTAATCTGGACGTACTTTTTTTTTAAACAAAAGAAGGATATCTTGCTACTATGATAAACGGAAAATTATTGGAATTGCAGCTATGGGATCAAGACATCGCTCCTTTAAAACGTTCACTATCGACTAATTCGCGACGTCTCAGTAGGATATCTCAATTAGCTTTGGTAAATTATTTTTGTTTTTATTTTGTTTGTCACTAGATGTGGATTTTTTTGGTTGTAATTTTCATATAATATAACAATTAACAATTTAACTTTTATTAATGTTTCAACTTAATCAAAGTGAATATAATATTTATATATTTTTTATTTTATTTTTGTTTATGAAATATATTCTCTGTATAGTTAAGAAACAATATACATAAATTTATCTACATCAGTTATAATTATGCATAACTGATTGTAATATTTAGAAAAGATATAACATGTATATGTAAATGTGTTGTTAAATAATTAATAATTTAAAAAATAAGCATTAATATTACAAGATATATTGAAAAATTACGATAAAAATAGCAATATTTGAAGCTTTGTGTATATATATTAGCTTCTGCTTCATCTTTTTCTGCAAGCTTTTAAAAAATTATATTTGTTTCAAATGATATTCACTTTTGATGTTCTCAATTGGCAAGATTAAAATAGCATTAATATTTTAAAACTCTTTACTTTATTTCGTATGCCATTTCATTGTTATGCACATCCCAATATTAATTTCTGAACACAATATACATATAGTAATAATTACA